CGGAATGTCGGCATGGATGAAACTATTTTGGTTTTACGGCAAAAAAAATCAACTGCTGTAGGCATAGGTATTTTGAAGAAGGCCTAAAATAAAACTAAAATGTTTTAATACTTGCTGAAATACATCGTTTTTTCATTTAGATCTCCATTTTTCACTATGTCCATGTGACATTTTTTTTTCCTGTTGTATACGTATGAGTAGTCATATGAAGGTACTACATCCCCGACAGTTGGCTGTGCAGCAATGTACCCTTTGAATGCAAACTGAAAACAGTTGAAAATATAAAGTCATGTATCATGCATATGAACGTTGACGCCTGCAAGGCTCTGGTTTAAGATTGTCCCAGGGTTCCCCCTACACCTACAAAACAAAACAAGGGTTTCAAACTTCAAAAGCGTCTTAGTGTTGTCAGTTTTGAATTGAACGTGCATCAAATTTTGTACACATAAACTAGAGGTGATTTCCAACAAACTTTCATCGTCCTTTTTTAAAATTGAACTCCAGGTTTCACCCTACACCTACAAAACCAAACAGGGGTTTCAGCAAGGACTGTACATTACTATGATTTACCACAACCATAATAGTGTATGTCGCATGAGTGGCGTGGTCGGTTAAGGATCTGTCCTAAAGAACTTAAGGTTGTGAGCGTATTTTTTTTTTTTTTTCATTTTGTCAAACAGTTCTCATTAAAAAGGAAAATTAACACCGAGGCGCGATTCAAACACTCGACCTTAGGTTAAGGATGTGTTCTAAAGACCTTAAGGTCGCGATTTTGAAACACGTCTTGGTATTCAATTTTTTTTTCCAATTTTAAGAATTTTTTTTTTTTTTTTCAATTTTAGGTATTTTAACTTTGTACAAATGATCATTCTAAAAAATGTTTTTTTTTGTTGTTGTACAAATAAACATTCTAATTATTTAAAAATTACTGTACATTTTTGCCATTACCACTTATAGGGCCTTTTTTAAGATTGTCCCAGGGTTTCCCCTACACCTACAAAACAAAACAGGGGTTTCAAACTTCAAAAGCGTCTTAGCGTTGTCAGTTTTGAATTGGACGTGCATCAAATTTTGTACACATAACTAGAGGTGATTTTTTTTTTTTTTTCAATTTTAAGAATTTTTTTTTTTTTTTTCAATTTTANTTTTTTTTTCAATTTTAGGTATTTTACCTTTGTGCAAATGATCATTCTAAAAAATGTTTTTTTTTTGTTGTACAAATAAACATTCTAATTATTTAAAAATTACTGTACATTATTGCCATTACCACTTATAGGGCACATGAAGGGCACGGTCAGTTAAGAATGCGTTTTAAAGAACTTAAGTGGTGGTGAGCGGTCACTCTTGTTTTTTTTGGCCTAAATAAATAATTGTTTCCATTTTGCATCACCCATTGCATTAATTTACATATTTTTAATTTATTTTATTTTTTACTTTAGGGTTGATGTCCTGCCTTTGAATTCCTGGCTGAGGCAATTCATTTCACTCTAGTGGACATCCTCATCCTTACAGATTTTCACAATTGATATATTTCAGAATTTTTTTTAAACAAGATGGTTTATAGTTTGTCTTATATGACATTATTTATTATAAGTATCTTTTCTAAGATCATGTCTTGTCAATTCTGCTTAAGATAAATGACACTCAAGTTAATCTTCTCATGAACTAGTACTGTTCCATATTAATGCAAAAAAAACAAAGGAAGTTACATTCAATCAAATTTGAAATTGCCATGAACTCCAGTGGAAGGGAATCCAAATTGAAATAATGATTGGAGAATTTTTTTGGGTATAGGAATTTTGAATAACAAGCTGAATTTACCATGAATAAATAGAACAAAAAAACCAATCATCGATAGTGACTTATAAAACATGAAACCTTTCGACCATAGGGCATTTTTGTTAAATTGAAGCACAAGTATCGTTCATTTTATTAACAATGTTCCAAATTTTTTTGACCTTCCTCGGGTCCTAATTATGTGAATAGGTAGATTAGCAATGAAGTAGGTACATCTGAGACTACAATGTTGAATTAGTGTGAGAATATAAACAAAATGATTAATGAATAGATAGTTACCAAGCATCCAAAAGTAGAAGCCTAAACTATGCGAGATAGAAATAGCAGAAAACGAATACAAAGCCAGAAACAGGTTTGTAGTGAATAACAAGATACTGCCCATTAACACATTCTGTATGGGTCTACGGATGAATGGTGAAACATCATGTAATTAATCCTCCATATCTTATAACCGACTAAACAGGATTATTTATTGTCATTTAAATTACTGACTTTTGTCCTTTTCTCATTGTTGTTCTCCGTTTCTGCTTGCGTGTGCCTCCTGGGCCATGATCTAGGAATGTATTATGTGTTTTTCTTATTGTTTTTTGATAATAAAGTGATATTATATTATTATACCAAATACAAATTGCTATCTATTATTGCTATAGTCGTTTTTTGCTACTGTAATATGCTTCAGTTATTAGGAAATGGCTTTGCTTGAAAGTATCATGGTTTTATTTATTAAATTGGGAAACATGGTACATTGGGAAATAAGGACAGGTGCAGAAAAATTTATATTAAAGTAAAGACATAAAATGATATGCAGCTTTTCTGTTATGCAGAGCATAGAGACTGCATTATGCACTTAACACCACAATTTATTTAATTGTTTGATCAATTTGACTGATTAATTGATTGGTTGATTTTTATTTAATTGATTGTTATTTGATTAATTGATTTGATTGATTTGATTAATTGATTGACTAATTGGTTGATTGACTGATTATTTGATTGGTTGATAGGTTGATAAGTTTTTTTGATTGATTGATTGTTTGGTTACTTGATTGATTCATTTGTTTATGATAAATGGATTGATTGATTGATTGATTGATTGGCTGATAGGTTGGTTGATTGATAGGGTGATTAATTGGTTGTTTGATTTATTAAATGACTGGTTGTTTAATTGATTGATTGATTGATTGACTATTTGATTTATTGACTGATTGGTTGTTTGATTGATTGATTTATTGACTAATTGCTTGGTTGATTGATAATTTGACTGATTGATGTGGTTGATTGATTTATTTAAAATAATGATACTTGCAGATCATAATCGGGTACATGCAGCTGACGTATTGCACGCTGTATACTACTTGTCCAGCCAACAGATTCCTGGATTCACCCAAGTGAACCTAGACGAGGACCGGGATGGATCAGAAGGTAAGGCATACAACATGACATATTTGCAGCTCATGTTTGGGCCTTCACTATCCAAGGAATGGTGTAAAGCTAGAGGCAAATCCGTGTCAAGGGGGTGGGATGGGTACGTACACACCCCTAATCGTAAATGGGCATATTATAAAAGCTGTCGAATGTACTGAATAACAATTTTGTTGTTTTCTCTAATAAAGATTAAAAGGGTTCTTTGAACCTTTACATTATTACCAGCAATCAATCGTTAGGCCAGTATTTGGCGATCCAAACGGCTCTGGCTCCTAGTTAGTCCATTTTTGCACATCCCTGCACCCCCCAATAGCAATGTTGAATATGGCCCTGAGAGGTAAGAAAATAACCCATAAATTGTAGCATACTGGTATTGCCTGCAGGTGTGCTCCATGACTGTAGCAACAAACCACTGAGAGGAGAATTTGTTTCCTATAAACATTGGTTATACTGTAGCGACTTTGTGGACTTCAATAAAGGCATTACCTACAGTACTAAAAAAAATTATTCCGTGAAAGAGGCTCTCTACTATTCCGAAAGATGCAGTGGGGTTTTAATTTCTATCCGAGAAAGATTTAGTTCTTTAATTAGGGCGGTCTTGAACCAGCATTGACGTTATGGATTTACTGAGTGGCACCCCCGTCCTCTTAACTTGTCAGCACGTAATCAACATCAACAATGCATGCAAATATAATGACGTCACTTCATCTTTTTCTAAGGCGGCACTTAAACATACCATTATGAAATGAATAGGATTGCCTTTGATGTTTGATGTTTTTAGTTATTATAATCTTACCTGAGTGGCATTTACTTTTCGCTCACAAATTACCAAAAACAACAGATGATGAAGTTGACGTTTTGCTCACACTGAGTTTTACCAACGTCATTCGAAAGTTAAGCATACAATGCATAGCAAGACTGAATTTACATTGACCTGTTATTCTTGGTTCATCGTTTCTTGAAATTACAAGATATATTTGCTTCGGAAAATTTACTGTGATAACATTAGGATAACAAAGCCTTTGTTTGGCAGATTCTTAAACAATTTCATTTCATTTGCTTCTGTAGCACTAATATCCTCATTAATTAAACGACTACAAAACTAACTATCATCATTGAATTAAGATATATTAATATGTTTTTTATATGCTTTAGTTGTTGGATATTAACAAATTAACTAAATTTCAATTGTAGATAAAATCAATATCTTTTATTGTAAAAAAGAATGTATGTTTATTATACTGTTCTTTATAATTTTTTTAAATTTTCATTATTCATTCAAGGTATCTTTATTAATATATATATATATATATATATATATATATATAATATATATAAAATCTAATAACATTATTCTATTACAGATAAAGCTGATTTGCAAAAATAATTTTATAAAACAGTGACAAAAAGAGATATTAATTATTATGTTATATGTTATTAGTTAATGTTATTAACTACTGTTATTGTTATTTTTTTGTCAACAGATAGTAACAATGGTGATTATTATTATTATATTATCTTTGTCATTTTTTTTGTGTAATTGATGTTTCTGATGTTTTGTTTGTAATTTGTTGTCATTGTTTCTATCATTTTATTATATCATCAGTTGTTCTTATTCATGATCGTCATCATTGTCATTATCGTCCTCATCATTTTTATCAGTATCATCATCCTGCAGAACTTGAGCACTTCATAAATGTTTGGATGAATACATTTTGAAAATATGATAAAGAGAAACTGTTTGTGATGAAATACTCTTTGCTAATGGGGAATGTTAGCAAGAGACAGCCATGTTGCATCGTATTATGCCTTTGTAGCAATCACGCATTAGGGAATTAAGTGCCTTGTAACAGCTAAATGTAAGCGCAACACATCAAATTGAACGCAAGCTCTCATTTGGCTCAATGTTAATCATTTTATTTTATTTAAATTATTAGTGTTTAAAGAATTCAAATTCTGTACTTTGTAATTAAAACATTCCAATTAATTGATCAAGGCTTCTAAAGGTATACTGTACTGTGGAACTATAAATTATAGTTCCGTAGATTTAATGACATAATAAAATTTGTGTTTATTTTATTATGCTTTATTGTTAACTACATAATAATAATTTATGATCTATTCAGTTCTGCAAATTCTACTTATTAATCGTGAGAAAAAATGGTCATAGAATTTTGGGGCAGTATCCAATGGCACTATTATTCAGCTAAGCTAGCCTTGGCATTTTGTTTGACCAGGTTGCAAAATTCAGAGAAACACAAGACATTGAATGATAAGGAAATAGTTAAAGTTTTAATGAACAGAATGTATACTAACCAAGTATATCTTGATTAAAATCTACAAACAAGCTTTTGATAGACGTTAAACTGACAGGTTGTAAACTGTTTACATGATGATTGACATACAGCAATGGAAGTGCACTTGCTGTAATTCGTAATTGCAAAACTGGCAACGCAATCATGAGTAAGGACTAAATTGCAAATCCATCTTCAGCTAATTTTCATCTTTATGGTCATTAAAATGTATTACTTTGAGTCATTATGAATACTGTAAATTGTACTAATAAAAAATGTTGGTTTTAGAATTTGATTATTATTAAACTTAAGTATTGATTGCGATTAACAGTTTTTAAAATTTCATTTCAAAAATATAATTTTTAATCAAGGAAACATCATTGTTTGATGGTAATTGCACCCAAAAATCAAGTCACATAGCTTAACGGCAGGGGTATGGGGTGATGGTAAATCAATGTATAAATCATTACAATAGGTATATAACAGCATTACATAATTATTTATAAGTAAATAAAAATATTAATATTAAATTGGATTTATTTAATAGAGTTTAGATTTATTGAAGAGATGTAATTATCTATGGTGAAACATGAACTCAGAATTATTTAATGAGAGGTGTAAACTGCATGCCTTAAACTACTGCTCATTAAATAATAAATTTTTTTATCTCTTCACTCCAATGATTCTAAATCAACGGCGTTTGGCAGTTACAACATTTTGCTTGGCAGGTTTAGTGTAGTATTTTCAGGATATCAGAAATGCTATTGTTCAAACAATCACAAATAAAGGCAAGCCAAACAATCAAACAACAACAAGTTTCGGGTCTGTATGTGAAGGTACAATTCTGGAGAAGACATTGGAAAATTGTAGTCATCCACTTTCTCACAATTATGAATGGTAATGATCTAGAATGCATCTGTAGGACAAATAGATATTTTACATAATTTATACCATGTTCTGAAGTACCCTTTATCAACAACCTCTAAAATGTTTTCATTCCGCTCAGATTTGTTACTTTGCAATTACAAAGTTTGATATTTAGGTTTAAGAAATCTTATTTTTTTCATTTTTGCACAATTATGAGTTGTGATCTAATACTAATTTTTGCAAAGGACCAAATAAAGTCTTGAATGTGCATCTTTATATGAACCCAGATTGCAAGTCAAGAATTATCATTTAAGTACCATCAAGGCATACTAGATTTTTTATTTTCTTTTTTATTACATCTGTCTGCTATTTATGTGGACTTGGTTGCGTTGGCATAAGATAACATTTAGTCACTTGTAGTATTCTGAATCTTCAGGTTAACGAGGGTTTTGTGAAGAATATTGAAGATGTGCAGGCAGAATTATTTTTCATGTCTGTACGTTGATCAAATGATTTGTATGTGGTCTGCTGAGCATTTTATGGCTTCACAGTCGTAATATTTCTAAATTACAATTTTGATTCATTAATTTCAGGCAATATCTACATACATTACGGTACCCTCCTGACCTAAGAAATGGCTGCCTATTATGAGTAATTCATTTTATTTGTAGTGTTTTATGTCATGTTTTTTTTTTATAACAATGTTGTGTATAGATTAAACTAAATATGTTATTGTTCTGGTGATAATATTCTATTTCTGTTTTTTTTCCCCAATAAAGTAGAACCTAATCATTGAAAATATATATTTTGTTTGAAATCAATAAATTATATTTTTAAAGGGTATATTTGAAGTAGCATTGTTATTGATTCCAAGGCAAAACCCATCTGAAGAGTTATCATCTAGCACCATTGTTTCTGTAAATCCAAGTATTTGTATTACTGTTGTACACCAACAATAACTGCTTGAATGGTGCCTATGAAATTTTTACTTGCGTTTACTTAATGCATCAATGCGCTCACAACCAACAGGCAGAAAACAGTGACAGCATAGGAAATTACACAGGAAAACAAAGACAGTTATGATCATAGCTATTTTTTATGAGAACTGTAGAAGCTCTTGTTTGAAGTTAAAATATGACAGTTACTGTATATATATTTTTATTAATTAGACAGGAGGGAAACCGACAATGTTCATGTAGTAAAAGATAACTGGCCCCTTTTATACTTCCTTGCATCTGCATATGGAGGCCATTATTTGTAGTCCTATTATAAAAACAGTGAAATAAGAAGATTGTTAAATGCCTTGTGAAGTTTGAGTAACTGTATTCAGTTTTTAGATGGCTGTTATTAATTTGAAATTTGATATGTCTTTCATTTTTTTGTTTTTAACATCATTGGCCAAGTCAAATTTTTTCCATCTGTTTGACTGTTTACCATGTGGTCAGTCACGGGTTTGCATTGGTGAATCAATGTTCAGGGTATCACCGTATCCTAATAATTAGCTGCAAAATACCAATTACGATGTTCTTTTTAAATTTTTGATTCATAACATTATATAGCCATGTCACATGGCAATGTCATTTGATTAGCCCTGAGTCACACACTCAATATCCACATAATTGTATGAGCACCGAAATCATTATGATATAACTTTAAGTTAAGCATTAAACCACCAAATTGTTGTTCTAATCCATGTCCACATTTGGATAGCATCGAACCACAAGCTTAGTTGTGGTTTCACTGCATGTCCCCATTTAGATAGCATCTAACCACTCCACTTCATACAGTAATGTCCACTTTTAGATAGCATCTAGCCAGTTATGGTAGCACTTCATAAATGTCCACATTTACACCTCTAACCACTAAATCATGGTTCAAATTTATGCTCACATTTAAATAACTAGCATCCAATCCCTAAGTTCATGGCTCCACTCTATATCAACACATTTGGATAAAAATAATATTTCTTCCACATAATCATGGCTCTATTTCATAATCACATCATATTTCCCTTTTTTCACACCTTTATTTCGAAATATTTTTTCATTTAGTAGTTAATCATAGCTTAAGCTATCTGATCCATGGATGATATTTTTGTCTTTAAATAGACTACTGTATATCTAGTAAGGATACACCAAAATTAATTCCTTAAGATAGATTAAGATTTTAATTTCTTTTCTATATTTAAAGCAAATCTTTTGTGAGCTGATGCGAGTCAGCTGGAGCTCTGGGTAGCCACAATTTATCAATAATAGAGAGATCAGTTTGTTAGCATTCAAAGAATACATTGATCAATTTTGGCTCATAATTTGTCTCATTTAATTACAATTTTCTACAGGCACCTAGCATTAGGCAGCTAGATACATGGCGCTATATTCATAGTTTTATTTGGTTATTAATTTTTTTTTTGCAGTTTTCGTTAATTATTGTGATTATATTTCTTTGGTCCATTAATATTTATTGTTATGGCTGTAATTTATACAGTACATATTTTCCTAGATATTTTTTACTGTTGGCATTATTTTTATTTTTTCATTATTCTTGTGGATTATTATATATAAGTTAGCAAAAATGTAATAGACCATGTACTTTGCCATTTACCATTAGGTAGTTTATGTTGATCTTTTTATGGTTGATGCTTTTGTAGGTTACTTAAGTATTATGCAGATATTTATTTATTTTCACATTTATTAATTTCTTTTTTAAACATGGTAATTATTTTATGTTTGTGGGTCACTTAGGTCTATCTTTTAGAAATACTGCTGAATAAATATTATTATTATAAAATCCACTTTAAGCAAAGGTTTTTGAAAGATTCTCAATCTTGTTTGCTTTTCAGATCTAGATGAGGTGAACATTGCTGCGCATCATACGCCGACTGTCACTCCGAGAGCGAGTTTCACGACTGATGTAAGTTATGGGATCTTAGCGTTAAATCTACCAGCTCTGGAGCTTATGGCATTGTATACAGCTGCAGCAATGCATGACTATGATCATCCGGGAAGAACTAATGCCTTCTTGGTGGCCACTAGTGCACCTGAGGTAAGTAAATCGCTTAATTACATGTCCGATAAAAGAAGGTCAGTTGTACTCAAATTGAATCAAGCGTAACTATAATAGTATTAGAATGACTGTGCTGAGATATGCAAAGAAAATAGCTTTTTATAATATTTTGAAATACTTCAGTACTATCTTAATGCATTATCTTACTATTAATAGATATAATATAACTTTGTAATTACTCTACAGCATGGTGTTTGCCAAATTATATTAATTCTTTTTTCAATTTTTAATATTACAAATTATAATAGTATTAGAATGACTGTGCTGGATATGCAAAGAAAATAGATTTTTATAATATTTTTAAATACTTCAGTACTATCTTAATACATTATCTTACTATTAATAGATATAATATAACTTTGTAATTACTCTACTTTGTTTGCCAAATTATATTAATTTTTTTTTCAATTTGAATATTACACCTTTCTGGTAAAAAAAACTCTTATTTTTGTAAATCATTAATCTCAAATTCCATTTGTGTTAAAATTCATTAGGGTGTATATTTCAATGTATCTGCTCAGTCAGTACGATAGTGTTAAGGTATGATGTGTATGTGAAAATATTCATTACGTAGACAATCAAAACATTTTTTTTATAAATCTGTTTTTCAATAATATTTCTCATGGTTATATTGTTTTGTTTTGTATCAAATAGTCGATCAGTAGCATTTATGTTGTGCCAAAGAAAACTTTTTCTCTGTGGCACTTGTTCATAATGAGGGTTATATAAATATTTTATAAAATTTATTTTTAAATGCGGTGTGGTAATTGTACAAAATTTATAATACATAGAGATGACTTTATCAGTGTTTGCCTCATAGCCTATGTTATTCTCATGACACGCTTTTTGCGAGTGTTTAAAAACACATATTCTTAATAACTAAATAAATAGGTAAATTTGCCTTAATCTATTAAAATAAGTAGGTAAATTTGCCTTAATCCTTGCATGCATATTAATAATATGAATTTTGTTTTACTTATTATTGTTTTGTTATTTAATTTGCTGCAGGCAATTCTTTACAATGATCGCTCGGTACTTGAAAGTCACCATGCGGCTGCCTCTTGGAAACTTCTCCTTTCAAATTCCAACTACAACTTTTTATCGTCATTAGACCCAGCAGAATTTAAGCGTTTCCGTTACCTGGTCGTTGAGTACATCCTAGCCACCGATCTTAAAAGACACTTTGATTTCTTAGTGGAATTTAATGCCAAGGTGAGAATTTCATGAATGTAACAGTGCAGTTTATATGCCTACTCATTATGCATTTTTCCCATTCTTACATATGCTTGGATTTTTCACATAATAATAAACACCTCCGCAGAAACACGTCAGAATTTTTTTTTTTTATCCTTAATTGTGCTGTGTGGGATGAATACAGTCATATTTATGTTGTTTTGACAAGAGCTTTGATGAAAATGATTATATGTTAACAAAAACAAATACAGAGGCTTGTGTAAGTAAACAAGGAGAGTAATGATGCAAGTGTATGTCAATAAATAATGACAGGCGTATTATGTTTTGATTGATGTTGACACACCTGTCTTCCATTTACAGGTAAATGATATAGACGCACCGGGAATCAACTGGGCCTCCGAGAATGACCGGATGCTTGCTTGCCAGATGTGCATCAAGCTAGCTGACATTTGTGGTCCAACAAAAACCAAAGAACTTCACACTAACTGGACGGACCGCATTACTGAAGAATTTTACGATCAGGTAATTATGTGATTAATTCTGATACATCTGAGCACATTCTGCATGTAATAATTTTCTTCTAATCCTGTTACAGATATACTGCCATCTAAAAATCAACACCTACAGAATATGCAGAAAAATAACCACATAATCTGTTACCTTTCAATAAGTTGGAAAAAGTATATATTTTTAATTATTAACAGATGTTTTACAATGAATATTCCTAAATTTGCTGCCAGAAATTTTAAAATATGTAAAGAATATTGATTGATTGATTTAATTTATTTGTAATCAGAGAGTCATAAAAATGATTTACAAAAAACAGACAAGATAAAAATTTCACAAAAACGTGACACTAGTAAAAGTAAAAAAAGTAAAGCTTATTTCCATTGGTATCCTTGTAAACACAGAAATATAATTGCACATTTTATTATAACAGATTGTTATCCCTCTAAGTTTTCTGTATGATAATGTTCATTACTCAATAATTTCAATTCAATTTTAAGTCAAATTAATACTTATTTTTTTGATATGTATTTTGAAGGGTGATGATGAGAGAAAAATGGGGTTGCCGGTCTCACCCTACATGGACAGACACAACGCTCAGCTTGCAAAATTACAGGAAGGGTTCATAAATCACTTAGTGGCCCCATTATGTAATTCCTATGGGTCGGCAGGACTGCTTCCTGGTGTCTGGGTAGACGAGTCTAGTGACAGTGAAGATGATGATGGTAAGTTTAGTGAAAATGAAATAGGTTATAGCAGCATACATTAATACAATATCACATTTATTTGTATATGAGTTATAAATGTATACAGTGCCCTCTAGTGGAAATGTTGAAGGAGCTAATTACTATAATTGTTATAAAATATTTTTATTGTTTAATTTTGATATATTGAGTCTTATGGCTTCTGATTCTCAACCTCTAATTGATGATAATGATAATAATTTCAATAGTGACTTGCATACATACTTGCATAGGACGAAGGACATTCCTTAACTTTATTAGGATGAAGGGACATATAACCTGCATTAGATGAAGATAAATTTCTTTTTCTAAGCTTGCATAGGAGGAAGGAACATTTCTTAAACCTTTCAGAGCATGAATGTACATTTTCAACACTTTTTCTTTTGATTTTTTTAGACAAAACTACAAAGTCAAGTGATGACGCATTTCGGATGCCAAAAGTGAAAGAAGAAGAGGAGGATGAAGATGAAATTGAAGAAGAAGATACCTCAAGTGATGGTGCTACTAGTAAGTGAATCATTTTAGATGATGAATGTTAACTGTCTTCTGTTCAAACCAAAATAATTTAAAGAGACTCTTTTCAAGCTTGCAGGCTGTTGTGTCATCTCCACACTATCAAAATTTTATATGAAAAATAATTCTGTTTTAGCAATTTGTAGGTGTGATATGACATCAGCATGCTTGAATAAGCGCCGCTCAAGAATAACACAGCAGCAGTGTAATGGAACACTTTGAGAAACAGTGTTAAAATGAATAAATAAGACAATGATTACACAAGCACTTCTTTGTAAATGTTTATTTACGATAACGTAGGACCTATGATAGGCCTACTGAACTATGGGAATATGTGAGATTGGTAACATGGGAACGGGCAATAATAAGCGCTGTATAAGCGTCGAATAAGCGTCGTACTGAAGCCTAAAAAAGCGTGATGCTTTTTCGAGCATTTATGGTAACCTAAAGCTCCATCCACACTATAAAATGTTATTTAAGAACTTTTGTGTGGTGTGCCCATATATGGGCATGGTGATGTCATATTAAAAAATAGATATTATTTTAATGCTTTTAAATTGAATTTTTGAGGATTTTTATTTCATATTTTTATGCAAAGGGTATATATTGGATAATTTTAGTTGCATTTTTGGTTTTAGCTTTTTAAGCCAACTCAAAGCAGATGTCAATGTGCAAAAGGTGAATGTCACTGTCAGGGTTACTTCACAGTGACAAATGCCAAATAAATTTAATCAGTAATTACTAGTTATTGGGTCTGTAGGCCTAACTTTAAATTAACAAACCTTCATAATACCAATGACTGTAACAATGTTATTTTAGTATAACCTACAGACAATGGCCAAAGACTGCGCACTTGTATAGCACTAAAACATTTATCCCTATACACTTTCTATTTGAATGAGGAATATAGATATATAAATGAGAAAAATTTCTGGCTAAATATTAATATAAGTGGTGTTGACCTGTGTGGAGACTACTTTAAGTTGAGGTCGGATTAAACATAATCCTTGACCTGTGTATGATGACTCCTCATTTGTGACCAAGTTTCTTATCTTTGTGGACAATTTCATCTCTAGTAGCCACTCACTCCTGCTCTCCTAATACTGCTGAATTAATTTCTAGTTTGGAGGCAATCAATTGATGAACAAAGCTCTTGAATATAGGATTACTCTGCATGAGAAAAGTAAAACGATTGAATCATGTTTGATCCTTTAATTCACGACAGGTTTGATAAACCAAATGTGTATCCAGGGATTTCGCTCATTTCGTATGCACATTTTGATGAAATTCTCTGCTCATTCCTCCTAAACTCCTAATTCTAATGTAAAAACGTAGAGAAGTTGAAAATATTTATAATTATAGTGATGATAGTTATTGTTTATTCTATTTTAAAAATTATTAATACATTTATATAACACATAATGCAATGTCAACAAAATTAAGTGTTACCAGATATTCACTTTGGAGGAATCACAGGAACGATTTGGCAATAAAGTGGCCTACTAGTAAAATATACATTACCATCCTAATCTGCAGGTTTTTTTTTTCATAAAGTTTTCATATTATGGTGTTTCTAAAATATAGTATAGCGCCCTCTATTTTTGATGGCATACAGAATGTGTATTATAGTTATGTCAAATTTGATGAATGAGTGTAAAAGATTGTAAGGCATAGTAAAGATTACATTACATAGTTTTTATTTAGTAGTACCGGTAAATAAAACAAGGTAGATATTCAAATATTGACTGCTCTAGTTTCGAGGAATGGGGAAATCTATTGCCCAAGGTGATGTGAAGACCATAAATTACATAGCAACGCTGGCTAGAGGTTGCACATCGCACGGCAGGGAAAAAAGTACTATTTTTTAGGGGAAAGGTACTTTCTATTGCCCGCTTCAGATGCCTATAGAATCAGTATGTATGAAGTATATAATAGTTTATATTTTCACTCTAGTTGCTATAGCATCTTATTGCATTGTCATAAGACAGTATGAAACCAACTCCATGTACAAGGTAAAGCCATCTATATTGCAAACTTTATTATTTTTTGTAGATGAACAAATAAATTTAAAATATAGAATGATGATGGCTTCTATCACTTTCTTTGGAGGTGGTTTCATAATTTCTCATGTTAAATGTGTTGGTAAATGCCATGGTTTATTTCCAGTGTAGTAATGGTGATGTCGCGTATTACTTGGTCTCAATGCATCTAGATGTCACAGAAAGTAACAAACAATAATCATAGAGCTACCATAAATGATAATTCTATATCACTAATGTATTTTTTAGGAGATGCCAATTTCAGAGTAAGAGGAGGAAATAAAACGAGGAAGATGACGAGCATTCTAACAAAGCACTTAAAGGAGAATCATGAGATGTGGCTAAAAGTACTAAAGGAAGAAGAAGAACAACAAAAACGAAAAGAAAAACAAGAACTCAGGGAAAAGGAAGAATACAACAAGATGGCTTCCATCCAGGAGGAGAAATCAGGTGGAGATGAAAGCACTGACAATAAGGAGAGTTGCAAGGAAAAAGAAACAGCACCCTCTACAGGTGATTGTGAAAAAACATGAGACTAAGTATTAGGTAATTGTATATATGGGATGTGGATAAGTGTAAGTCTGAAACAAAGAAGGTCTTATTGCTCCTGAAATAGAAAATAGTTTGTATTAAATTGCAAATATTATATAATCATATGTAGTTTAGCTTGTAAATTATTATGGATTTGCCAAGAAGATTTTACAGTTAGGTTTATGCCGAAATAAAGATTGAATATATAACAGGCTTAAAAATTCCAAGATAATTTGTAATTGTTAAAAAAATAACCTAAAGAATATTTAATTATAGTATGTGCCCTAGAAAAATATAATATATACAGGGCCTGTTTTTTTTTATTGTCATTATATTTATTGTTATTACTATATGGTATTATTTATATTATTGATTAAAAATGTTTTCAGATGCCTAGTTTTGTTATTTTAATACAATCCAATATTTTAAAAAGATTGTTTTTCAAAATAGGTAATACTTAAATTATGGTTTTTTTTTCAATTAATTAAATCTGTGTTACTTTGAAACATATTCTATTATATTGCAAAGGTCTTTGTTAATTCTTTTAAATACTATATTGAATAATTATTTCTAAAAATTACCTTTAATTTCCTTTTTGTAAATTAATTTTAAAATGCAAAATTTAACTGAAGTAAGACAAATATACATGGTATGATGAAGTCTTTCTTGTTATTATTATTTGTATAATATATGATGCTATTTATTATTTTTGCAATATTTTACTCATGTTTTTCATTAACTTGATGCAAATGAATCTCGATTCCTTTATATGAAGGAGATAATATTTTATAATTTGGAAAAAAATGTTGAATTCGCATTTCCAAAAACGGCCAACAATTTCAAAGAATGGCATTTTGTGGTTACTATGAGCAATCACATTTTAAAATTTTAAAACCTTTTGTAAAAGTATTTTTGAAATCTAACAGTAACTGGGACCAGGTTTAAAACTGTACATACTACATAGTAGATTTTAGCTGTACAGTGGTTATATATGATATGACTTTTTATTGAAGGCTTACATGAATTAAAGTGTGTTGTAACTTCTTTGCTAATAGTTTACTTGTAGAGTTCAAACTTTCAGTCATTTGAGAATCTTCACTAATGAAGGAGGCCTTCTAATGTTTAGAGATTCTGCTAGACTTTTAGGTTTCATACAATGAATGGTATATACAAAGCTCCCAGGACGCAAAAGTGGGAAATCATTTGTTGTCAACCTACTAATTAAGATGTAGAGCCATCTGTGTTGCCAGCCACTTGAAAACATTGGATAAGCATGTATGGCCTCTGTGTCAATTGAAATTATTTTGGTTTTTTTTTTTACATCTAATTATAGAGGGTTTCATGGGATTAAGTGTGATACACCAAAAGATAGTTATCAAGAAAAAAAATTACCTGACATTATCACACCCTCAGAGGCTCTCCCTCCCCTTAAATCTTCTTTCGCATTAGTTATTTTTAGCAACTCAGAAATCGTGTAAATTGTATTGTAATATATAACTTTGGATGCCTATCTAATCTAATGTTAGGAATAAATAATTGTGTTGTTGACGTAACTCTGGAGTTGAAGAGCGCCATCATTTGTTCACCACATGAATGATGATGACAGGTGTCTGTTCTGTACTGATTAAAGTTTTGGTGCTCCAACTAAATGCTGCTAAGTCCAATATGCCTACTTTCCTAGTACCCCTGTGCAATATCTCTCTCTATCTCTGTAATTTCCCTCCATATTTAATGTGTGCAGAAATAAGGAACATTTTGGACTTCATCACAGTGAGTGAACTAAGAGAATATTCCTTGCCACACTAAATATGTACTATAATATATTTATGATTGATACTACTTGTGAAGGCGTAGCAACTTGGGGAGGGGTGTATTAGGCACAGATCTAGTAGCGTGAACGGGGAGAATGTGCCCCTACATTTTGTCATTAAATATAAAAATTGTCAATGTATATCATTATGTATTGAAATTAACAATGCTCAATTATCTATTCTTAAATTTTGTGCCCAACTCCCCCCCCCCTTTCCCGTTTCTGAATCCGCCCCTGTGTATTGGTGGGTGTATGATAATAGAAAAAAAAAATTGTTGAGATAGTGATGTACAATCCGATAACAATTTGGCTTTTATATAGCATAAATGCAGTATTTGGGATGCATATGTGCTTGGCTGCTGGAGCTATTTGAAAAGCGGGTATGTCATACAGTTTTATATGTCATCGTATGAGTCCTTAGCTAGCTCTAACCAGACATCTACTGTTAATAAAAAGAAAAGTAATTTCCTATTTTTTCCAACATTTCCAAATGCGCCATGAATTTTTTTTTTCGTCCATCTGTAATTATTAATGTAAATGCAAACATCCGAGCCACAAGCTTTAGTATATTTTAACTCACATTACCCTATTTTGGTAGGCAGGTTCCAAATTGTAAAAAAAACCAAAAAAACTTTTTGATTATGGATGAGTGAAGATTATTTTGTAAAGAACAAAACCGATAAATAATCATTGTCTTGTACAGTACGTACAATTCGGCATGCTGAAACTATTACATTAGTATGTATATATTTTTATCTATGTATCTAAAATCATCATGTATTACATGTAAGATGATTGTGAAAAATATGTGGAGTAATTAGGTGCCCCCAACGAAAGCAAAGTGGGCGTGGTCGAGCTTCGATTAAAAGGTTTCGGAAGTGGTCCAAATTTATTGACAATTAAAAATACATATAAATTTTTTTTCTCCCCGACAAATTGTGCTTTTTCTCCCCAACTGGGGGTGGGGTGGTGGCAGCCCTCCCCGACGAGTCCCCCCTCTGGCGCCACCCTGCTTTGTATGGTTCAAGAAGCGAAATACAGAATTCATGAAATTTGATCAATCAAGTACAGACAACTCAAAAGTCAAACTACTGCACTCTAAACTTTAATCTATATATAATAGTATTTTGTAAGAAGGGCTATACTTTAAATTACTTGTAGTTTACATCTACTGCTGTGTATCAATCCCAACCATGAAATTTCGATTTCAACGTATGCCTCAACGTAGTCCACATTGTAAATAGTAACGAAGCTGCGCGAGTAAACCAGTTGACATCTTGTAGGAGAGCAATAAAACATCAGTATTTCTGAGCTCGTCAACTCCGTTTTGTTACCCTGTGTCTTTCATCTCCATTGTCTGTTTTGATAGCAAACTATAATCAAGTAGTGGAATGTTTATATTGTATTGTTGTCGTCGCCGTCACCACCGCCGCCGCCGATGTTAAAATGTTTCCAGTCAAAGACACGTTTATAATATGCGATCAACTGGCAACTGAAATGTTAAAAATATATCTGAAAACTAGGAATATGCATCATTATAACAACACTGTTGATTGATGTTGCGCCAGAATTCACCAAGATGCTCATAGCGAGTAAAGTAAAATCTTTGTGCTGGTCCTCGAAAAGAAGGTGATAATAATTGTAATGATGTTAATGACAAAAGTAAAATTGCAACATTAATGAACATGTGGGGGAGGCTTCAGGTGTATCATTGGTTCCTACAAATTAAGACTGATGGACAAGGACGTTCCACAACTCAAGTAGGCTCCCATTAGGTGGCGGATTCAATGGTGGCGGAGAATTATTTTTAATAAGATCATGCTACAATATTTTTGGGGATGGGGTAGGGTTAGTGTTTCGAAGAATACGTCATAGTAAACATTATTTGAGCGTGGAATTCCTGGTTTACGGGCCGCACAATGTGTGAGATTCCCATAGATTCTTGAAATCACATTTTAGTATTCTTATTGATTGATCTTGGACATCCATGTTAATATATGAAAAGACGCATCACATATCTGTGCACCGGGAGACTAGATTTACTGGACTCCAGGAAATATTCCTGAATTTGAAGCCTATAGGCTATGCAATGCTGACAATTCACACATGCACATACGGTACTTCTTTTGTAACTCCAAGTACTGTAATGATAACAATTAGCCTAAGCTTTAATATGTTGCAAGAAATATACTGTATACACACAGTGTTTACTTGAAGGTCCAAGGGTGGAGGCTTATCCATTTTATTGACTTATTTCAGTTGCAGTATTTCGCACTTAATACAAGATTTCATGCTGGTGCCAAGGGAGGGGGCGCTCTTCTTCCTTTGCCAGCTAACTCTGAATATCAACTAAAGATGCGGTTTTGTTCGACTCCATGTTTCAACGAAGCCAACATTATTATGCGTTTGTGCTTGGCTTCGTCTCTAAGTCCCATTAGGGACCTACGCGGTCCCCTGTCCCCAGGTTACGCGTGCTTTCCCTCTCATAGCATTTGTATAGTTGTCTCAGGCACTACTACCTTGGGTGTGGACAAAAATGAGCTGTCTTGCTGACGATGCAGTGATGTTTGGTTTTGTTGCTCAGCCTGTTCACTTTGGATTTCCAAAGTCTTTTTTTTTTGTTACAATATGAGTTGTGAGCTGTATTTCTGTTTACTTAATAATGGTACTACATAGCAACACCCGTGTGTGGTTTTTATATTTTTTTTATTAATGTAAATACGGTAGCCTCAATTCCGTCCCTATGGAATTTGAATTAAACAAACCTTAATCATCGAAGACAGAAATGAAGAAGTCAATTACTAACGTTGATTTATCAAAAATCCAAGTAGGGAGATTATTTGAACAAGATGTTTTTCACAGTCGAGGGGTAACGTGTCTTTGTAACAAAATGGTACTCTATTTGACTGCAGTGCGAGGTGCTTGTTTGCCGCTGGCAGCAACGGTTGCGTGCGCCTTGTTTGCCGAGTCATAGCCTCGTCGCCACGAACATTATACCAACGTCCAGACCGATTATAGCCACGAGTCGCCACAAATCGAACACAAACTTCTATGCTTACACTCAAATATTTCTTTATATATTACAATGTTTTGAAGTAAACGAATATTGCTAGTTAAACAATTTTTGAAACAATAGATCTGGTGGTTAATTAATCAAATCGGATGAAAGCGCGTACCAAGAAAAGAAGAAGCATTGGTTAGTTTTAAGTGTGTTTGTTTAACACTCAATACACGCTTATTCGGAGAGGTTCTTGTAGGCATCTCCTAGCTCAGATACGCGTGTTTGTCGTGGTGTTTACCCAGCAGTCGTCATCCTACCTTCTTTGCTACTTGCTATTATTTTGGACACCATGTCATAGAGATGCGTTTTTTAATCAAAATTATATTTAGATCGATAAAACTCGTATAAATCACCTGGTAAAACCTGACGCCCGTCGTCCAAAAAAAGTTTCGATGGGACATTTTTGTACAATAGGCTACTTAATATAATAGATAATAGATTTTCAAAGAAATTTACGATGTGACAAAA